ACTGTGTCCTCACATGGCAGAGAGAGAGGGAGAAAGAGAGGGAGACAGCAAGCTTTCTGGTGTCTCTTCTTATAAAGGCGCTAATTCCATCATGAGGGCCCCACCTTATGACCTCATCTAAACCCCCAAGACCCCATCTCCAAATACCATCATATTGTGGGTTAGGGCTTCAATACACGAATTTTAGGGGAACGCAATTCAATCCATAGCATGGGAGGTATCTGGAGTCCTTTGTGTTCCACTCTGGCCCAAGGACCAGGCAGCTATGCAGCCCCTTGATGTCCCTTCTTCCCCCATCTGTAACCCACATGGCCCTGGGAGGCTGAGGGGAGTCGCTTGCTTCAAGGGGAGACCTAGTCTCTGACACTTTAATCTTCTAGTTCTCAAGGTCAAGGCTGAGGGGAGAGAGGATAGCGGTAAGAGAGAAGTAGGAGTTTAAGTGCCCTGTCATGACAACATGATCAGTGGCTTGAAATTTGTTGTTTCCTATAAAATAAGCCTCAAGGGCTTTAGTCATGTTGGCTAACAATTATATATTGAAAACCAGAGGACATACCTTGAAATGTTAACAGAGTTATCTCTGGGTCTATGGGGGATTTGTTTGTTATTTTCTAAATTGTCTAAAATAAACCCTTTTATAGAAAGAAAATAAATATTTTTAAAATGTGAAAGGGTTCCAAGCCAGCAAATAGGAAAAAGACCCTGTACTAGGATGTGACACTTCCTCTCAAAAGGCCACCAGGTCTTGCCCCGAAATTCGGATGTCAGTAAGTCAGGCCTGCAGGGAGCTGTGTCTACAGGTGGCCTCAGTCTGCCGGGTCCCTGGAGTTGACATTGGGCTTGAACGATGGCTCTGGCTGGGGCGCTGGGAGTCCTTGGGCTTCTAGGTTCTTTCCTTACTTCCTGCCCAGCTGGATCCACTCCTGCTTGCGAAAAGCTGACAAAAACAGGGACAGCAAGATGAGCTTCAAGGAACTGCAGAACTTCCTGAAGGAGCTCAACGTCCAGGTGGACGACAGCTATGCTCGCAAGATCTTCAGGGTGAGGCAGCAGTGAGCCCTGGCAGTGTGGTCCTTGACCCTGGGCCAAGGCCTGCTCTGAGCCCACCCGCCCGGCTGTCCTGGCTTTGCAGGAATGTGACCGCTCCCAGACAGACTCCCTGGAAGACGAGGAGATTGAAGCCTTCTACAAGATGCTGACCCACAGGAAGGAGATCGACCGCACCTTCGAGGAGGCTGCAGGCTCGGGGGAGACCCTGTCAGTGGATCAGTTAGTGACGTTCCTGAAGCACCAGCAGAGGGAGGAGGCTGCGGGGCCTGCACTGGCCCTCTCCCTCATTGAGCGCTACGAACCCAGCGAGACCGGTGAGGGCCTGGCCGTGGCCTGCGACCTGCAGTCCCAGGGCCCCACCAGGCTGGGAGACCCCTGGGGAGACTGCAGTCCAAGAGTAGGGAGCTGCAGGATCAGGAGCACTACAGCCAGCCTCAGGGCCTGGGTCAGTATTTGCCTGCCCCATGACAGCAGGCAGATGGGAGACAGGGTCCCAGCATCACTACCTCCCTCAGCAGCTACTTCAGGGGGTTTTGAGGACCCCTCCCTTAGGAAAGAGAGAGAGGGGGCTGGAAAAGCAAGCACTTGCCTGGCTTCCTTCTTGACCGTCCTGGGTCCAGCTTTGAGACAGGGCCCTGCCATGGAGGGGGCTCCTGTCTGGAGGCACAGAGGAGGAGATGAGGTCCTGTCCTCAAGGGGCCTCACAGTGTTGGGGAAAGAAGCAGAGAAGACAGGGCCCCAGGAGGTGGCTGGCCAGAGGGCTCTGACTGGCCTGGGCCTCCTCCCTTCCAGCCAAGGCCCAGCGGCAGATGACCAAGGACGGCTTCCTCATGTACCTGCTATCAGCCGATGGCAGCGCCTTCAACCTGGCGCACCGGCGGGTCTACCAGGACATGGGCCAGCCGCTCAGCCACTACCTGGTGTCCTCCTCGCACAACACCTACCTGATGGAAGACCAGCTCACCGGGCCCAGCAGCACGGAAGCCTACATCCGGTGAGCCTTGGGGGGGTCTGGGGCTTCTGGAGGGCCAGGGGCACGGCCTGAGGGTCCTAGCACCACTGTCCCTGCAGGGCACTGTGCAAAGGCTGCCGCTGCCTGGAGCTCGACTGCTGGGACGGGCCCAACCAGGAGCCTGTCATCTACCACGGCTACACTTTCACCTCCAAGATCCTCTTCTGCGACGTGCTCAGGGCCATCCGGGACTATGCCTTCAAGGTGGCCACGCCCCTGGGGGGTGACGAGGGGGAGGCTAGGAATGGCCAACCCCTCCTAACCTGCCCTTCGACCTCCAGGTGTCCCCCTACCCTGTCATCCTGTCCCTGGAGAACCACTGCAGCCTGGAGCAGCAGCGTGTGATGGCGCGACACCTGAGCACTACTCTGGGCCACATGCTGCTGGACCAGCCGCTGGAATCGGCCACCACCAGCCTGCCTTCCCCGGAGGTGCACAGTGGGGGTGGGGGAGCCCAGAGAAGAGGGCAGGGGGACTGGTTGGGAGGCCGGCTTGGTTCTGACCAGCTGCCCCTCCATCCTTAGCAACTGAAGGGAAAGATCTTGCTGAAGGGGAAGAAGCTAGGGGGTCTCCTGCCCCCCTGTGGGGAAGGTGGCCCAGAGGCCGTTGTTGTGTCCGATGAGGATGAGGCTGCCGAGATGGAGGATGAGGCCGTGAGGAGCCGAGTGCAGCACAAGCCCAGGGTTCGAGGGGAAGCTGTGGGGGGCAGGGAGCCCTGGGGCCCTCTCCCACCATCACCCCCATCGCCCAGTGGGATGTGTGCCTTGTCTCAATTCTCTGTGGCTGCCATTCAGACCCTCTGCCCCTCTCTGTGTCTGTCTCCCTCTCTCTGTCTCCACGGCTGGGTTTCTGGCTCTCTCAGTGCCCACCTGCCCCGACCTCTGACTCTAACCCGGGCCTTCCCGTGGCCCCCAGGAGGACAAGCTCAGGCTAGCGAAGGAGCTCTCCGATATGGTCATTTACTGTAAGAGCGTCCACTTCAGGGGCTTCTCCAGCCCCGGCCGCCCCGGGCAGGCTTTCTATGAGATAGCATCCCTCTCCGAGAACCGCGCCCTCCGACTGCTCCAAGAGTCAGGTGAGCCCCCCCTGCACCCTGAGGCTGCTGTCTGCTGTCCCACCACCCGCCATGGCCAGGGCCAGGCCTGGCTCGCAGCGCCCTGGCCGGAGTTAGCACTTCCCGCTGTGGGAGGAACGGGTGGGAGGGACTTGGGCGAACCTGGAGGCCTCCGCTTCTGACCGTCCTGCATTCGCATCAGGAAACAGCCTTGTCCGCTACAACATGAATCACCTGACCAGGATCTACCCTGCGGGGCGGAGAACGGACTCCTCCAACTACAGCCCCGTGGAGATGTGGAATGGGGGCTTCCAGATTGGTATGGGCTGGCCAGGGCTGGGAGGGGGCCTGGGCAAGGGTTTCAGTCCAGAGGGCCAAGGACCCGGAGACTGTGGGGACCTAAGCAGGGCCAGATGCAGGAATTTGTGGGCTTAGGAGCTGGTCATTTCAGTTTGGAAATATCCCCCTCCTAGCAAGACAGTGTTTGAAATCCCGTAGTTAGCACAGTAGTTCTTTGAATTCTGGCACCAGAAATGGAATGTGAGGTTGGTGTGGTGGGTCAGTTAGGAGGGCAGTAGGCACTGGAGTGATACTGGACCCTGCTTCTGCCTCGCCATGTGACTCAAAGGCCTCAGTGTACCCAGAGTAGCCTGGGCTCTGCGGCCCCTGAGGCCAACCCACAGCTTGTGACTGCTCTGTCCTACCTGTAGTGGCCTTGAACTTCCAGACACCTGGGCCAGAGATGGATGTGTATCAGGGCCGTTTCCAGGACAACGGCACCTGTGGGTACGTGCTGAAGCCTGCCTTCCTGCGAGACCCCAACTCTACCTTCAACCCTCGTAACCTGACTCAGGGGCCCTGGTGGACTCGGAAGCGGCTCAGCATCAGGGTATGGCCAGACCCAGAAGGGACAGGAGCCCGTGGGCCTCCCTTCCCCCTCGTCACCACTCCTGACGTCCATAACCTCTCCTTAGGTCATCACGGGGCAGCAGCTGCCAAAAGTCAACAAGAGTAAGAATTCGATTGTGGACCCCAAGGTCACGGTGGAGATCCACGGCGTGGGCCGGGACTTGGCCAGCCGCCAGACCGCGGTAGTCACCAATAACGGTACGTGCTGAGTCTGAGCTGGGCCCGGCTACTGCGGCTGGCCTTTGTGTTGTTGACGTGGCGCCTGTACCCCTAGGGTTCAACCCGTGGTGGGACACGGAGTTTGAGTTCGAGGTGGCTGTGCCCGAGCTTGCCCTGGTGCGCTTCGTGGTCGAGGATTACGATGCCTCCTCTAAGAACGACTTCATTGGCCAGAGTACCATCCCCCTGAACAGCCTCAAGCAGGGTGAGTGTTTGTCAAGGGGAGGGGATGGCAAGGTGGGGGGAGGCAGGGCCTGGCATCTCTTGGGCTGGGGTGGCTGTCCCTTGAAGCATCCTACCCGAGTGACTGGAACGTTCCCTGTGTGCTCCTTCCTGCCCACTCACCTGCCAGGATACCGCCACGTCCACCTCTTGTCCAAGAATGGAGACCAGCACCCATCCGCCACCCTCTTTGTGAAGGTGTCCCTCCAGGACTAGGCTTGGGAGCCGGCCAGACCTCCGTCCGCGTCCGGGGCAGGGCGGGCGTGGCTGCTCCAGCCTTGCCGGAGCCGGGGGCCCCACGCTGCCTTCAGCTCTAACACAGTCTGTGCTGCTGCCTCCCCAGGGCCTAGGAGCTGCTCTGGGCCCCGGATCTGTCCTCACCTCCGTTGGAAACAACACTGCAGCCCTCTCCACCCTCTGGCCAGCCCTAGGTGGAGGGTTTTTATAAAAATCATAAGACTAAATTCCATGGTCTCTTCACCTGCACGCCAGAAAATGCCTGTAAGTGCGCTCACCTGCGTGTCCCAGAGCGCCGGAACCCAACACCTCGCTCTCCACCTTCCCCACACGCACACTGTATTGTGGGCGCTGTCTGTCGCCCTGGGCAGGAGGGACCAGCAAGAAACCAACCCTTCCTTTCACGGGGGAGGGTACAGAGAGACCACCCCCTCCAGCCCCTGAGGCCCCTTCCCCAGAGGTAGACCTGCTGAGTGATCCAGACTTGAAAACCCACACACCACACCTTGTGAGGCCACAAGCTTTTATTGCTGGGGAGGGGGGTGACCCAGGAGTCTCCCCTGGGGCTCAGGTGCATGTAGGGGTGTTACCCACGGGGCTCGGCCATGTGAGAGGCACTGGCAGGAGCAGGGTCTGGGTTCAGAAGAAGCCAAGCTGCTTTTTCTCCTGCTGCTGCTTCCACTTGGCCATGCCGTAGAATTCCTTCTTGGACTTGCCAAAGATATCTTGGAAGTCAGAGTCTGAGAGATAGAACTGTGGGCGAGGGGAAGGTGAATGCAGGGAAGGGTGTCAACTGAGCCCAGAATTCTGTCCCACCCAGAGGTGTCATCCCAGGGCTCAAGGCTCTCCTCTCCCATCTCTCTCTGCCCATCACCGCATCTGGAACACACGTCCCCCCAGACAGCTTGCTCATTCCCACCATCAGTGTGGGTCCTAGGTGCTTCCAGCTTAATTTTAGGTGCATCAGTGCTGGGGCAGTGAGTGGCAGGGGAGGCTCAGGCACCTACCTCCTTTTGGGCCGGGTCCACGCCCTTTGGCAGGCTCTTGGCGGGCCGGTACATCAACTGTTCGCGGGGCAGGCCCTTGCTGCTCATGGAATTGGGGCTGCTGTGGTTGGTGCTGGTGCTGGTGCTGGTGCTGGTGTTGGTGCTGGTGCTGGTATTGGTGCTGGTGCTGGTGCTGCCACCACCCGCCTTGGGGCCCAGCTGCAGATCATTTTCTGATCTGTCCTGGGAGCTCTTGTGGGCCTGCAGGGCCACGGAGCCTGGCCTGCTATTGTTTGGCCATCTAGACAGCCGGAAGTTGTTGATTTCCTGTCCATAGAGGGGACTCAGACTGGGGGTGATGGGGGAGAGGCTCCCACGGGGAGGCCATACTGAGCCCACTGGCCCTCTTTCCCCCACCTGCAACCCCTGCCACCTACCAGGGCCTGGCTCCTTCCCTGCCCATTCTGCCCACCTGGACCATGCCAACTGAGCCCAGACCCTGGGGAAAGCCTGGGAGGCCCCAGTACTCACTGCTGTTATCTCAGAGATGGTAGAACTTGCTTCCAGGCTGCCCTCCACCAACTCCCTATAGGACTGGTTGTTCTGGGGACAAGAATCAGAGTAGGGGTGAGAGGGAATGGTACCAATGGGACCCAGGAAGGGGTCTGAGGACAAGACCAGGTCTCTCTAACCCACATTGGAGGACCCCCAGCAGGGCAGTGCCTCCTCTCAGTCTGCCCAGGGCAAGCCCCCTCCCCTGGATTAGGGTGGAGCTGGGGGTTCAGACCTCACTCTCAGTCCACTTGTAGGGGTCCCAGTCGAGGAACCATCCAGTGAAAGTGGGAGGCTCATGGCCCTGCTTGATCAGCACAATGGGTGCAGCCTGGTTCCTCCCAGCTGGGTGGGTCTTCAGGTATTCCTGGCCCCAGGCCACTGCCGCCTGCTTCCGCTCACTCGAAGCTTTCCCGAGCCACAGGAAGATCTGGGCCACAGAGGGGGCCTGGCCTTGGGTGGGGGGAGGGCCTGCCCAGAGCTGACCGCTTCCTTCCCACCCCTGTTTATCAAATGGTCTCAGAGCCCCCAAAGCACCAGACACACAGCAGGTTGGCCACCATATCCACACATCCATAAACACTCCAGAAGGTCACAGACATATATGTATGACTTCAATCCACAATATTTATTGAGTGCCTGTTGTGGACCAGGGGATTCAGTAGTGAAAAAAAAAGACAAAAATCCTTGCCCTTGTAGAGCTTTCATTTTATTTGGGAGACAGGAAAAGAAAGAAAATATGTAATATATCAGATGGAGAAAAAGTCAGGGAAAGAAGATAAGTGTGGTGATGGGGAGATAATGGAATTTTAAATTAAAGGCAGGGAGAGCCTTACTGGGGAGGTGACATGGAATCAAGATCTGAGGGAGGTGGGGGAGCAAGTCATGTGTATGTCTGGGGAGAAAGTGTTGTAACCAGACAAAACAACCAGTGCAAAGGCCCTGAGCATGCCTGGCATTTGAGCAGCACGGAGGCCATTGCTGCTGAAGCAGAGCAGGCACTGGAAAAGTGGGAGCGAATCGGGCTAGAGAGTTGGGGTTGCCGGGCCATGCAGGGCTGTAGTAAGGACTTTGGTTTTGTTCTGAGGGACATGGGAGTCTGCAAGCCTCATCACATTCACACAGTGTCATAGTGACACAGACACACAGACACAATCATCCATTGATCACAGCTACACAGACACAATCATCCATTGCCACAGCCAGACAGCACATAGACATAGTTGTGCATAAACACAGCCACACTTGATTACACAGTCCCAGCCTGAAAAACACAGGTAGCCCGAAAAACCACTGCATCTAGCCACAAAGGAACAATTAGCCACGCAAATACCGTCACTCAGTCACACACTCAGCCTCGCCCGTCGTGGCTGATCTGGTCACTTACAGGGAGTTACTTGACCACACAGCCACATACACAAAGGCAAATGCATCACACATACGTACACGGACAGCCATTCAATTTACAGTTGTTCACTTGACATTGACACATGTCAGCCCCAGGCAGTCACCTGGAGCCACACACCATTTGAAGGCACAGGGAGTTACATATAACTACAAAGCCAGTCACAATCACGCACAAGGTCCAGACACACAGTCGTAGTCTCCCAAAGGCTGACTGTGACAGAGTCATCCACGCTATCACATTCATGGTGACACACTCGCACTGTCACGCAGTGTCACACAGTCACACATACTCACTGGCAGCCTACATGCAGTCAGATGGTGAGAAATACACAAAGACACAGGCGCACACCAGTTACACAGAGACACACACCCCGGTAGGCTGGGGTGGCCACCTCACCTCCTGCCAGGTGTCTAGTAGCATGACATCATGCTTGTCCAGATCCTCTTGGCTAAAGAATACCAATTCCGTGAGGACCAGGTGGCCATTCTGGCTGAAGCACTCGAACAGCCGTGGCTGGATGCTGGCGACGTCCTCGGGGAGGCTGGCCAGAGTGGGCAGAAGGCTGGGACTGTGCGGCCTGGCCACGCTAGCCCTCAGCACAGGGGCCCCTACCCCAGGGGCTGGGCCCTCCTCTGAGCTCCACCCACCCTGCAGTTTAGTCCGGGAACACCCGCCCTGCTCCTCTCTGGGCCTCAGTGACCCAGAAAGGAGAAAGGCAGTGGGAAAAGCAGACCGGGATTTCGTCTAGCTCCAGCCAGCTGTGGCACAGCTGCCACGTGAGCTTTCCCGGGAGTAGGCACCAGAAAGGGCTGGCTGGCTGGCTTTGTGGGTGGGCCTGAGCTGGAGCCCTGCCGTCCTTGGGAGAGAGGAGCCCCTGGTCCCATCCCTGGCTGGGATGGCCTCAGGCCCAAGGTGGGAGGGGGGAAGTTAGGCTGAGAGAGGGCCACAGTAGTACTTAGGAGCTCAGGAGACTTGGGGGGAGAGCTGTGCATAAACCAGGCCCCCAGGCAACATAGAGCGGTCCAGGACTCAGCTCCCTCCTCCCGTTGAGGCCTCGTTCTGCCCTACCTCGGACACACACCCTTGTGCATTTACACCCTTGTGCATTCTTGCACACTCCACATACGCTCACACACACACACACACACACACACACACACACACACGGTACCACCCTTCTGGGGACAGTGAGGTTGGGGACCGGCTTCTGCTATTGGTCCGAGACTATGGCCATGCAGGGAGCACATTCAGCCAGCAGAGGACACCCCTGCCCTGCATCTTCCCATCCAAGTTAGGGCGGCTGGGAGTGAAGGGGGCGGGGCTGCACTCCTGGGAGCCCCTGGGGTGGGGAGCCAAGAGTCCTCGGTTCTAGTCTGGCTCCTCAAGCTCTACGTGTGACCCTTAGTTAGTCACCCCACCCCCTTTGGGCCTCAGATTCGTCCCTCGTGTAAGGAGAACACCCTCCTCCCACCCTGTCACCTCTTGTTGCTGGGGTAGGGAGCCTGGCCTCCCAGGGCCTCCCAGAAGCAGGGAGGCTCCTGACCCTCCAGCACTGTTTCTTTGTCCTCAATGTCCTCAGAGATGACACTGACTACCCTCCGCGCCATCTCACGCTGGTCACCGCTGCAGCCCTGGCAGGCAAATGGTTGCGTCAGGCCCTGCAGGGAAGGGGTCTTCACCTCCAGTCCCACAGCTGCCCACGCGCAGGGGCCTGAGTCAGGGGGCCTAAGCCGATGGGAGGGCTGCATGAACAAGGGCTCACCCTTCCTGCCCCTCCTGGCCTCTGTCTCCCCAGCTGATCAGGGTCACAGGGACTGGGACCCTCTCTGGGACTCCCAGGCTTGGGGATCATTTACGGTTTATACTGACGATCAGAGAAAATTCTGGCAAACTGAACTAGGTTTCTTCCTTGTCAAAGAGACTTGGAAAGATGCAGGCTCCCTGCTCAAGGCAAGAAGGAGGGAGGCAGCCTGGGCCTGAGCCTAGCTCTGACCTGTGGACCCCCAGGTCCACCTGTCACCTTATAACTTCCCCCAGGTTCAAGAGGGGACACATACCCCCAACCCCCTCCAGGCCTATCTAAGGTTGGGCTTGAAGTCTGCATCCCCTGTGGAGTGGCCCCATCCCTGCCTGGCGCCACTGCCGCGGGCGTGAAACAAGTGGTCAGTGTTGGTGGTACCTTCCCAAACCAGAGGTAGCAGATGCTGGCTGTGACCAGCAAGAAGATGTCACTGGAGTTGAGGGCTGAGGCCCGGGCTGGCACCTCCGTGGTCCTGGTGCTGTAGCTTTCGGTGCCTTGCACGTGGAAGAGCCTCGTGGCAGATACTGGCTGCCCCTTGCCACTGTGCTCAGCGGCGCTCCCCTATAAAGAGAGCTAGGCATCAGCTGGGGCAAGGGGTCCTGGGGGCCAACCCCCCTGTCCCAGTGGGGGACAAACTGCCTCAAGGCCCAGGGGTCCCTTTCTTGAAGCCACTACTGTTTTCTAGATCCTCTGGGTGTGGAGTGTGAGGATCCCATTGCCTAGGATAGAACCAGGCCTTTCTAAATGGATTCCCTCACCCCATATCTCCAAGAGGTCAGGGCATAGTTCCCCCAGGCTTGAAGGCAGAAAGTGGGGACTGGCTTTGCCCGTGTGTGACCGCAGGCAAGGTCCTGGCTTTCAATTAAACTTCCTCACCTGCACCCCTGCTTTGTGGCTGGCTCTGAGGACTGGGGGAAGAAACTTAGGCAGGGGCCACCCTTGGAGCTCCTGGGCCTTGGACAGCACCAAGAAACCAGAGTGGGATGGGGGTAAGCTGGGCCCTTGGCCCAAAGAGCTGTTAGCATGTGCATAATAAAGGTCATTGGCACATGGAGGAGCCATGAGGCTGTGGCCACAGCAGCAAAGGAGGGTCCTACCAGGAAGACCACCAGCTGGCCCTGGAAGATGGCAAAGAAGTGGGGGGGCTCGCTGCCCATAGTCACACGCTCTTCCACCAGGGCTCCATGGTACCGGAGGTCCAGCTCCTTGGCTTTACTGTTCAGGGCCTTTATCTCCTGTGTGGTGGCCTGGTGGCCCTGCAGACAGGGGTGGGGAGGGCCTGGAGCAACTGTTAGATACCATTCTCAGATCTTCAGCTCTGAGGCTGGAAGGTGCCTGCCACCCACCCCTCGGGCCTGCGCACCTGCCACAGGTACAGGATGTACTGGATGTGACCCATCCTCTGGTATGTGTAGAGGACAAGGTAGCAGTTGCCTGTATAAAACTGTCCATGATGCTTGGGGTCCACAGGCTGCCTGTCTAAGTCCTGGATGCACCACACCTGGGAGACAGGGGACCAATGGGCACAGGTGGCTCTTCCATCTGAACTCACCCTGTGCCTAGCCAGAAAGTTCTCCTCAGCCTCATCTGCGCAGGCAAGGGACTCACCCCCAACTCTGCACCTACCCTGTGCTCTGTGCTGGGCTTGTGCAAGGGTCTGCAGGTGACCCTTTCTCCCATGGGGCCCTGGGACCCACCGCACTTGTGCAGACCTGCTCTTAGCGAGGACTCTGAGTTGGCCTATGGTGCCTGGGACAGACAAGTGGTGAGGACTCTGGAGGCTGCCAAGGTAAACCTGCCCCCTGCCCCCTGCCCCACACCA